GTTATGAAAACTGCAATATAAACGGATTTGGTCAAATCATGTTTTAGTTGAGGCTTTTAGGACATCACAACAAATATTTAACAAAAAACAAATGGAGACAGCCTGCCAATATATGATATGTGCCAAAGGGCTACATAAACATAATTCCAATCTATGCGTACACACACACACACACACACACACACACACACACACACACACACACACACACACACACACACACACACACACACACACACACACACACACACACACACACACACACACACACACACACACACACACACACACACACACACACACACACGCACACACACCATTACGTTTTGGTTTGGAGTTTCAGAAGTTGATGTGGTCACCCATCTACCACATAATGAGCACTGCTTGGCCACTCATTACCTACTGACAGCAATAAAGCAGACACACCCAGAGCTACCATGGGCAAAAGGTTAAACCATAAAACTTCTCTTCATTTGAAAACGCACACAAACGAGCGCTAACACTCCCAGGTTGTAAATGTGACCGAAGCCCAGGACTCGCCTGATTGGCTTGGTTTTGACATGTGATGTCATCGCTTAGGAGGGCCTGACAACTTGGTAATAAAACAATACCAAGATAAGGGTCATCAACTCCTTAAAACCAACAGAACGCAGGAATACTACGCCTGAGTGGACACGTAGACGCAGGAGGAAGCACACCGTGACAAAAGGACACTGTATTCAATAGCAGGTGCAGTAGCTACAGCTTGAGGAGTCGTACCTGGTGGGAAGACGAGTCAACAAAGAGGAGGGCAAAATCAAGAGGGTCTTTTAATACTTGCTGGAAAATAAGAGGGGGAAAGAGAAGGAAAACCGTGAGAAAGAAAATCTGATAAAGAGGAACCAAGAAGAGAGGAAGGACAGATAAAGGAACTTTTGATTCAAAGAGGGCACTTCTGTCTGAGTGGACGATGGTGTCTTTGGCTCTTGAACTGGTGGGCGTCATCCTGTCGGTGGTCGGCGTGGTGCTGAGTGTGACCAGCTGTGCTTTGCCCATGTGGAGGGTCTCCGCCTTCATTGGCTCCAACATTGTCACAGCGCAGGTGTACTGGGAGGGCCTGTGGATGAACTGCGTCTTCCAGAGCACGGGGCAGATGCAGTGTAAGATGTACGACTCCATGCTGGCCTTACCTCAGGACCTGCAGGCCGCCAGGGCTCTCACCATCGTGTCCATCATCGTGGGGGTGGTGGCTTTACTCATATCTGTGGTGGGAGCAAAGTGCACCAACTGCATCGAGGATGAAGGGGCAAAAGCCAGAGTGATGGCTGCCTCTGGTGGCGGGTTCATCACAGCAGCTCTGACCCAGCTGGTGCCAGTTTCCTGGTCCGCACACACCATCATTATCGAGTTCTACAGCCCACTGATTCACTCCGGTCAGAAGATGGAGATCGGGGCGGCGCTGTATCTGGGCTGGGCCGCCGCCTCATTGCTGCTGATTGGAGGGTCCATCCTCTGCTGCAGCTGCCCTCCGAGGGAAGATAAACCGACGAGGTACAGCATGCCCCCCCAGAGTCGCATAGCCTACTCCGCCGCACCGAGGTCAATCGCTCCCAGCTCCTACAACAGGAGGGACTACGTGTGAGGGAAGAGGAGACGACCGAGGGCAGAGAAGGAGGAATTGGGACCTCCATTATACTTTTTTCCTGCATGTGCACATTATAAGGCAATGTGTACATAAATGTAAGGAAATATTGATTGTCTTAGTTTAACTAGAAGCAGTTGTTCAATAGTAAAGAGTATTAGAGACAAACCAGTTTGAGGACATTTAGGATCAATAATGTGTGTAAATAGGTTTTAGAGTTTTGGAAAAATAGATATAGAAGCTCTATATAGATGTTTGATGATACTGTTTACAAATACCATTGGTCTAAATCAAGTTTCAGAAGATTTTACCAATGTTTAAAAAAGTTGTTCATGTGGTCAGTTCAACGAGGAGACTTTATCCCATGTATATTTATTATTGTTCCTTTACCATTTACGTTATAAATGTTCTTTATTGTACTGACCAGTGTGTACAAACCTGGTATCCTACTGTCAAATATTGTAAAGCAAGTAAAGACATTGTTGATAATTTAGTCGAGCAAAATGGAGCTCAATTTGGGCTCCAAAGCAAGGTCAACATGGCGAAGGACTGTACAAAGAAGTTTTGTAAAATGATCATGTTTGATATGTCAGTGATTTTCTATCTCTCTCACATGATATGGCTGTGTTTAGACAATGTCTATGCTTTTATATAACATGGGTTTTGTTTTATTAACATATGTTGGCCCATAATCAGAGAACATTTTGAGTTTACTTTAAGAATGCAAATGGTTTTTTAAATGATTAAAATAACTTAAATAATAAAGTGATAAATATATTCACTGTGAAACATTATTTGAGCCTAAATTATTCTGGTCCAATTTAAGAAGGATTAAGATAATCATTCAACGGAAATAAATCATAGTTTTTTTTACTAAAGCTATGAATACGTTTTTTAATCCACTTTGAAAAAAAGGGTCACATTTCAAAACATGTAAAAGAAAAAACATAATGTGCCATCAAAGTGTTTTTTGGTTTTTGAGTGGCCAATTATTTCCCGGGTCATACATAAACAAAAACAAAAAAAATCACTAAAAAGGTTTTAACTTGCAACTTTATAGACAATAAGAGCTTGAATATCTGTCTTAACAATAGGCTTAAATAGGTACTTGTCAGATAAATCAAAGAAGTTCAACTACAATAAGCAAAAGTAAAATTCAAATAAAAATGGTTCCTTTCCTTCACAGCCCAAAATAGATTTTGGATTCATAAGACAAAAGAAGGCAAAAAGTCATTTTAACACATTCATCCCTTTACATTTGTTCTAACCTTCTTGGATTTGATATTTGTTAACCTTTTATGACCACTGCATAAAGGAATATGTTGATGTTGTCACCTTCAGCGTTACGTGTGACGGTTTACTTCCTTTTAGACTCTGCTGTGATGAAATGTCAATTCTGGTGTCTGACTCAGTGTCTGACCACAGATACCAGCTCTTTCCTGTTTTGAATAGTCAAAGTATTTCTGTGTTCCAGCAGCTGTGCTCAGGTACAGCAGAACGCCTCAATTCTTCAACAGGAACATAAGAGCTGACCTATTTCTGCTTCTCTGAACAACACGGAACAAACCTTTTTAATTTAAGTTTTTTTAACTAACTATTTTTTTTAAATAATGTCCAGCAATAATATTAATACTAAGTATAAACACAAAATATAATATAGCTTACTTTCAGTACCAAATCTAGAGTCATCATGCACACGTTTAAATAATGATTATTATATTATTTGATTTAAATGATTTATTAATTAATATGTTCATCAATTACATTTTGCAGCCGGTAAAAGTGTTACTCATTTGAATGACTTTGCTGGACATTTTCCCCCAGAGATCCAAAAAGTCTTGTGTTAACCTGTTATAAGACCTTATCATTTATTATTTGACTATATATTAAATCATTAATATGAATCCTCCAAAATCCCTAAAATATAGAGTAGTAGGAGTATGAAGTTAAGTTTAACTACCTCAAAATTATACTTAAAAATCGTACTTGAGAGTAAATATCCTGAGTTACCTCCATCTCATAATTTAAACTCATAGGCCTTAGTTACTGAAGATGCATTCTTTCACTGGAGTGATAACTTGCATGGTTTGATACAGGACATTTATATTTACTATAACAAAAACAGAAGCAATACGATTTATGTTAATGTTCCAGCTTTTGTTAAGGTGCCACAAGCAGCTGGTCAACAGATGTTGTTACGTAAACACGTTTAAATGACAAACAGAGCCTCCCTGTTGTTCTGCCTTGGGATTGTTTACGTGTGATGTTGCTTTTATATCTTTTAGATAAATATTTGTGGCTCCCCATTCATTATGTGAGGAGATTTGAATACCAGTTTGTATCAGCCTTTTATGGATCAGCAGTTGTCGCCTCTTGAGATTTAGGTATGGAGGGGAGTGATGTCTCCAAATAAGATAAAAGTTGCACATTGTGTAGCAAATTGTTTTAAAATGTTGCACCTGTCAAAACCATGTCAATATGAAGTGTCATTATGAGTCTAATTTGGTAACAAATGAACCTATGTGCAGTAAAATAACAGTATGACTCGCCTAAAAGTCTAACACCATATATCTATTTAGCTTATTAAAATAAATGTTCAACTATTTAAAAAAATCAAAAAATCATTTCTGACCCAAAAATACAAATTCACATGTTCTCAATTAGAAATAAGTTCTCACTTGGAGTACTAACATGGATTCAAATGATATGAGGTGCAGTATTTGTTTCTGTACAGTATTCTCATCCACGTGTTCCCCAGAATTAAATGGTCAAAGAATAAAGGGTTTAACCGATACTGTGAAGATCACGCTTTCTGTATGCTCAAGGTGTCAGAGAATCGGCCTATTATGTTTTCCCTTTGCTCCTATTTGCTCTGGGTGCAGTTATACCGGTTTCCAGCAGAGCTTTTGGGATTGTTTTCCTAACACTGAATCCTCACTGTTTAAGAAACCCACACGACCGGAACCAGGAAGTAACAAAGCTCAATAGTATGAGACAGTAAGTCTATAGCCTGAGTGTGTTTTTGCACCATTGTGTGTGTGTTTGTGTTGCTATGCTTACTCACAACAGTAGCCTGAAGCTACCTCTTTGTTCTCAAGCACGGTTAACCATGGCATGTACGATGTAACTCTGTATTTATGTTTAAGGAACTATAACAATTGTTTTTTTGTGAATATTTTAAACAGAACTTCTCCTTCCCTTGAGATGAGGTTGCCATTTTACCAGGGACCAACCCCCACCAACCTTAGACACACCCTCCCAACATCACATCCCTCTTCTCCCCCCTGCCTCCAGCTCCCCTCCTCCATTATATGTTTTTAATTTGTGAAGACTGCCTTCAGTTGACATCATCACCGGGGGACTCCTCCCACTCCCTTGAGCTATAAAGGATGTGTTTCCGTGGCAGCATCTCATAGCTTCATCACACCCTCTCACAGGTGCTCTCACTTTGCAGGAACACCTGAACAGAGAAGGAGGATCTTTACTGACAGCTTTGTTGGAAAATCCATGGACTCAGTAGTTCAGTTTTAATTCTGTCATCACACGGAGAGCCAGCATGTCGATGGGCATGGAGATCGTGGGCATTGCCCTTGGAGTCATTGGTTTTATCTTAGCAATAGTGACATGCGCTCTGCCAATGTGGAGGGTGACGGCTTTCATCGGTGCCAACATCATCACCGCTCAGACCATCATGGAGGGCCTGTGGATGAACTGTGTGACCCAGAGCACGGGCCAGATGCAGTGCAAGATGTACGACTCCATGCTGGCCCTGCCTCAGGAGCTGCAGGCCTCCCGGGCCATGATGATCATCGCCATCATACTCGGGATTCTTGGGGTCTTGATCTCCATCGTCGGCGCCAAGTGCACCAACTGCATCGAAGACGAGGGAGCCAAGGCCAAAGTGATGATCATCTCTGGAATCTTCTTTGTCATGGGTGGCCTACTGGTCCTCATCCCCGTCTCCTGGACAGCCAGCGTTGTCATCCGTGATTTCTACAACCCCCTCCTGACCAGCGCACAGAAGAGGGAGATTGGGGCCTCGCTCTACATTGGCTGGGGCGCGGCCGCCTTGCTCCTGATTGGCGGGGCATTGCTTTGCAGCAGCTGCCCACCAAGAGAGAAGAAGTACAAGCCACCCAGGATGGCGTACTCCGCACCGCGCACCACCAGTACAGGAGGAGGGTATGACAAGAAAGACTATGTTTGAACAGAAGTGCCTGACAGATAGATGTGGAAAGTAGGATCATTTTTTGTTGCACATATGAGTGTTTTTGTTGGTCTTTGTTGTATTTTTCTGTTTGAAACTACAGGGTAAACCCCTGCAAAAAGACTCCGCGATGAAGAAGTGTGTACAAATGTTGATCATTTTGCTTTGATTGGTTCATTTACATAACCTGTTCTCTGCTTTAATCCAGCAGTGTCTGAGGCTTCAGTACTGACACATTAAAGCCTGTTGTCCAGTAAAATATAACTTTATGCTTGGGAAATTTTAAACTGCATCCTTCTGACAACATGTTCTTATATTGAAGCTAAAGGGGCATTATGTGAATCTGAAAACACCTGCTTGCTTTTTGTGTGTGTGTGTCATTATCTGTAGGCCTGCTGGTGTTGTATTTCACTGAAACCTACAGTTAAAATAGTGTGTGTGTGTGTGTGTGACTGGCAATGACAAAGAAAAGCCAGCTCTCATTTTACATGGATTTGGTGGTGTATTTGTTCAGTGTGTGTGTGTGTGTGTGTGTGTGTGTGTGTGTGTGTGTGTGTGTGTGTGTGTGTGTGTGTGTGGTGTGTGTGTGTGTGTGTGTGTGTGTGTGTGTGCGTGCGTGTGCGTGTGTGTGTGCGTGTGCGTGTGTGTGTGTGTGTGTGTGTGCGTGTGTGTGTGTGTGTGTGTGTGTGTGCGCGCGTGCGTGTGTGTGCGTGTGTGTGCGTGCGTGTGTTTTGCATGTACTATTTGCTTAGGAGAGTTTCTGTTGAGACTGAAACTGAAGATGGATCCACGATATGGCTCCAGGTTACAGCTTTATCTTGTTCCTCATAGTTTCCCTTGTCTGTTTGTGACATAGAGGAGATCGTTTCAATTACCATCACTTTTGTATATGAACATATGTGTGAGTTTATAATATATTTCTGTAATAAAATGTATTTGTTATGTATTCTAATGCTCCTTCATTGTGCTTATGTGTTTCAAATAGATTTGACTTTGTATATATCTTATTTTTATTTCTTTTGTGTGTCAAACAAAGAGCCAAACGACCTTGTGTGTGTGTGTGTGTGTGTGTGTGTGTGTGTGTGTGTGTGTGTGTGTGTGTGTGTGTGTGTGTGTGTGTGTGTGTGTGTGTGTGTGTGTGTGTGTGTGTGTGCGTGCGTGTGTGTGTGTGTGTGTGTGCGTGCGTGCGTGCGTGTGTGTGTGTGTGTGTGCGTGCGTGTGTATGTGTGTCTGAGGGAACAGGACTACAGCTGTTATAGGATGTTTGTTTCAACATCAATAGGATGTATATGAGTTGAGTAGATTTTTTTACTTTAGCGTAATTCAAATATTGTCGAAATAATATAAAATGCTTTGTCAAATGTTTTATAGCGCTTGAATTGAAACGTGTTGAAATGTCAATAAAAGTCAAACTATGAATAATGTGGGGGGTTTTTCTTGCTTTATTAACGCTCTAAGAATACAGGAGTCACATAACAAAGAATACGTTACTAAAACAAACGTGGTTGAGTCCTAATCAAATAGTTAAAAAGCTGTTGAGTTGGGCTTTGGGAGTTGGGTTTCTTTATTTAGCCTCAGGTAACAGCCCAACAATGTGTACGGCTGACATACAACTGTCAAATAAGTTTGTCTGTTGGCTTTATTATGGGTCAATAGACCAAAGACTAAAAATGCAAAATTAGCGGATGAGATGAGAGAGAAAAGGAAGCGTTTTTTAACAATTGTTGATCAATTCAACAGAAAAATGTGCTTTTGGATAACACACTACACTAAGTGTTCATTCAGTGTTATTGTCTCTGTGTGCTGTGTAGTTTTTCCTAACCTACATAAACAACAGGTGAAAATTAAGTTTTGGTTTGGAGTTTCAGACTCAGAAAGTAAAAAGAGACTCAACTGTGTGCTCTGACACCAAACGACGAAATGACTCAAGATTACTTTGAAGACTGAAATACAAATATAATCTCTAAAATTAGGTGATTGACAAAAATATTTATATATTATAGTGATAACTCTTTATTCCAACAGTAATACAAACACTTTTATTGTGCCAGTTTTGTTATGTTCTGTTTTTCACTTTTTAATCTCATTTGTTTTCTTTATGTATAACGTTGCTTGTGTGTGTGGGTGTGCACAATACAATCATTAAACAAGAGTTTAATATCAAGGGATATCAGATATTTTTCACCACCAGAGCCAAAAACAAGAATCAGAGTTGTGGCCTCTGCAGCTGTGTCTTGCAATCATTAGACGGTTATTGTAGCACTGTTACTGGAATGGTTCTGTTGTTGTTTTGTAAGATGTCGGTGCGATTTTGAAAGTGTTTTTCCTCGAAGGAGAAGATTATTTTCCTCATAGATAAATCTCTTATTTGGGAGCTTTGCGCTGTCTTTTATGACTTAATGTGTCTTCAAAGTAATTATATATGTAAATACATTACAGATACATTGGAGCTGTTGTGAACGATTACAATAAAGACTAACTGGAATAGAATATGAAAAAAGTGAATATAAAAAAGATACAGAGAATGGTATTTTACAATAATAAGTCATTTAAGTAGAGTCTGGCTTTTTCTAAAAATAAATATGTAAAATGTGTCCCTATTCATTTATATTAAGACCCTTTTGAAACCCAATGAATATCTTCCAAGTCTTTTTAATGAAAACAAATAAGGTGGAAATTGGCCAGACACATGTTTGTCAAGGTCACACAGACACACACACTAGCAAAGTCCACCAGAGAAAGTAGAAGTGTCAGTGAAGCAGAAGTAAAAAAACACATTGTATTTTAAATAAGCAGTATTTTGGATTGACTGATACCATACAAGAGAGCTTTTGGTCAACACACTTCAATGCTCTTGCTAATGTATGATAGCAACTTTTTCAACTTCTCTGACCTTCGTTTTATGACATTTTTATTTGTGTGTCTATTTTACTCTTGTGTGCACACATATCATGTAGCAGCAAATGTCCTTTTATTCTGTTTTAGTTTGCACTTTATCAACTAAACAAGAACAATGGATGAACAATGTAATCCCTGTCCAATAACCTAACAATGTCAAATTTAATTAAAATACATGCTTAATTAAATATTTAGGAACGTTAAGGTATAGGTCAACTGCAATATCCTTCTTGCTTGAATGAATCACTCTTACAATATATATGTATTTCAAAATTAGGCAACAATACAATCATTGCCTGATTGCACTCTTAGTAGTCAAAACATATGGTACCTTTAATGAATATTAGCGTGCATTAATATAATTCTAAATTAAGAAGGAAGATAACACAACACAGGGAATTAATCATTGTTATCCCTACATGTAAGTGTTTTAATGGGAAGTTAGGCAGTGGGATGATGTTGTACATTAGTAAACAAAGTGAGAACTGGAGTTGCATTTTAGGGAAACAAAAAGCTGTTGTGACAAAGGTCATTGTTCATTTTGAGTCGTCATTTGTTATTGATAGCACGTTTGAATGTCAACTTCACTTTTCAGCAGGAACACGTGCAGGTGCAGTTGACAGGTAGCAGATTTCTCACAAACAAGCGGATGACTGAACAGCGAAGTCCAACCGGTACCTGGTAGAGACTCTGGAAAATGTTAGCTCAGGTTATCACTGATTTTTTTTAACCTTAATGAGTTATTGACTGTAAAGTTGTGTAAAGCAGATCAACTATCTCTTGCAAACCCTCCCTTTGGCATGCGTCACTGAATATGTTCTTAGGCAAATGTACTTTCCTTACAAATCTTAGAGGTATCAGAACAAATGTGGATGTGCAGTGTCGTAACACCAGGTAAAATATATGAGATTAAAATGTAAGATGAGCACATTTTTTCTTATTAATTACATATTAAAATTTACTTTGTTCTTTCTTTCATATATGTATTTGTGTATGTGTTATGAACACACTATATTCTTCCATTTTAACCTGAGGATACAGGTCACTATGGTTATTTGAAAATAGCATGCAGGCTCAAGCTGTGTTTCATCAGTCAAAGTTTTTAAGAGGAAAGAGTTTAATCTCAAGGGATATCAGATATTTTTCACCACCAGAGCCAAAAACAAGAATCAGAGTTTTGGCCTCTGCAGCTGTGTCTTGCAATCATTAGACGGTTATTGTAGCGCTGTTACTGGAATGGTTCTGTTGTTGTTTTGTAAAATGTTGCTGCGATTTTGAAAGTGTTTTTCCTGGAAGGAGAAGATTATTTTCCTCATAGATAAATCTCTTATTTTGGAGCTTTGAGCTGTCTTTTATGACTTAATGTGTCTTCAAAGTAATTATATATGTAAATACATTACAGATACATTGGAGCTGTTGTGAAAGATTACAATAAAGACTAACTGGAATAGAATATGAAAAAAAGTGAATAAAAAAAAGATACAGAGAATGGTATTTTACAATAATAAGTCATTTAAGTAGAGTCTGGCTTTTTCTAAAAATAAATATGTAAAATGTGTCCCTATTCATTTATATTAAGTGTTATGATCTCTGTAAGATCGCGGAAAAGGTAGGACCCAAATGCAGACTACAAAAACGGAAAAAGGTTTAGAAACAAAAAGCGAGCTTTATTTAAAAGCTAATAACAAAACATGGCATGAATCAAAACGGTAGCTCAGGAAAACAATAACACAAAAACTGACCGTGAAAAACAGGACATAGGGTTGGCAGGACCCCCGGCAGAAGAGTAGTTGGCGGGACCCCCAACGGGACAGGACATGGAGTTGGCAGGACCCCCAGCGGAACTTCCAACGGACCAGGTCATTGGGTAGGGACTTGAGAGGGGACTCGAGAGGTAACTTGAAAGGGGACTTGAGAGGGAACACGAGAGGGAACTCGAGAGGAGACTCGAGAGGAGACTCGAGAAGAGACTCGAGAGGGGACTCGAGAGGGGGCTTGAGAGGGGACGTGAGAACTCGAGAAGAGGCTTGAGAGGGGACTTGAGAGGGAACTCGAGAAGAGACTCGAGAGGGGACTTGAGAGGGAACTCGAGAAGAGACTCGAGAGGGGACTTGAGAAGGAACTCGAGAGGAGACTCGAGAAGGGACTCGAGAGAGGGCTTGAGTCGGTCGGTACGCCGACAGGACACGGGGAGCTGGAGTCGGCTGGAACGCCGACAGGACACGGGGAGCTGGCGTCGGCCGGTACACCGACAAGACTCCGGGAGCTGGCGTCGGCCGGTACGCCGACAAGACTCCGGGAGCTGGCGTCTGCCGGTACGCCGACAAGACTCCGGGAGCTGGCGTCGGTCGGTACGCCGACAGGACTCGAGGGGCCGGAGTCGGCCGGAGAACCAACAGGAGACGAGGGGCTGGAGTCGGCCTGTACGCCGACAGGACACGGGGAGCTGGCGTCGGCCGGAGAGCCAGTACTGGAGCCGAAACTGGAGTCGGGACCATGGCTACTGGGGCCGGTACTAAAGCCGGAACCATGGCTGTGTGGGCCGGTACTGGAGCAGGGACCCTTGCCTGCTGGGCACGGAACAGAAGCCTGGACCCTGGCTGTGTGAGCCAGGTAATGGAGCACGGAAGCATGGCTGTGTGGGCCGGTACTGGATTACGAGCTGGCTTCCTGACCTTGCATTTCTTTGAGGTCTGTTGGAGGCTCCGTGGACCTCCAAACGCCAGGCGGGATCCCAAAAAAGGGTCAGAAAATGGAGACATGGCACTCAGGGCTACGTGAGAAAACTGAGCCGTTCAGGCAACGAGCTCCACAACCATGGCATGTTGGCCTCCTCCATTTGTGCCCTTTTAAGGACAGCCTCTTTGTCCCTTCTAGACGAGGATATACTCCACTCAACATGAAGACATCGAAGGGAGTAATCCAGAGAGAGCAAATCAAAATCATAATCCGCTGGGTCCATAATTGGTCGGTTCATTTTGTTATGATCTCTGTAAAATCGCGGGAAAAGGTAGGACCCAAATGCAGACTACAGAAACGGAAAAAGGTTTAGAAACAAAAAGCGAGCTTTATTTAAAAGCTGATAACAAAACATGGCATGCATCAAAACGGTATATCACCAGGAAAACAATAACACAAAAACTGACCGTGAAAAACATGGAGGAAGACCGGAGAGAAAAACATTAAACGTGACGTGAAGGGAGGACAAACAAACAATGAACCGACAGGAGAACACAGGAAGACACAAGACTAAATACAGGGAGGGGTAATCAAGGAACAAGAAACAGCTGGGTAAAGGACGGAGAAACACAAGGGCAACAGGTGAACACAATCAGACAATTAGACACACCAGGGAAACTAACGACAGGGAGGAAAACACAGGGAGAAGGACCAGACAAGAAACAAGGAGGAAAACATGAAACAGGGAGAACAGAACAGCAAAATAAACCCAAACATACAAAAATAAAAACGTGACATAACATAGGAATCGTGACATTAAGACCCATTTGAAACCCAATAAATAT